CGTAGTGCTTTCGGCGACCGACCGATGACTACTACTGATCAGCTGAATTGGGTTGATATCGGAAGTCTGTGTCCATTTATGTGATAGACACTCTTCGCGAGTATTACGGTCTTCGGCGACCGTCTTATTTGTGTCATTAACCTCATCTCGGGTCACATTTCGTGTGGTCTCACGGCGGTCAGCTCAAGAGTTTATTAGTCGTCCACTACACCATTTTTGGATATTACTGGTTACTAATGGTATCTGATTACTAAATGACGTGACTGGAAATTTGTATGCCAGTCCAGTTACAACTAGGCCATGACCGATCCAGCACACTGCCACCAGTCTCTTCTGCGCACGGTTTCTATGCGTTGAATGCTTATCTTGGTTCTGCTCGTTTTCTACTATTCCTGTTCTGGTTGGTCAGCTATGACCCTTGCACTGAAGTGGAGTGGATCCAGTTACGCCGACCACATTGATATCGGTAGCTTGAAGGAATTGATAGTAGAAATAGAGGCAATCAGAGCCACTATACCTTACAGGATCCCTGTGGAAACATTCTATACCCGTGGGTGAGGAGAGTTGGAAGTTCGGAGTGGAAGATCGAGTGCGCGGATGCCACTGACTGACAGAATTCTTTAAGTTGCGTAGTTACAAGTCGCTGAGACCACCGGACACGAAGAATCTCAACAAAAAGACGAACTGGACCTATAAAGTTTGTCCTTCAGCACGTGCTTTCATTTTGCTTTCACCACATCGGATAAAGGCCCCAGAGTTTTGCGTAAATGCAGAGTACTGCTAGGAAACACTCACCTGCACAGTTGGCCCACTGGCTGTCGGAATACGTAATCCTGTCTAGCGCAGGTAGCTCGAAGCAAACGAACATCCATTGGGTCCCCGGAGATCTCTTGCCCGGTCAGCCGATGGCTGCATAGTAAATCACTTGGTGCTACCCATCCGCCCCTCGTACTCCAGGTTGGTCAACAGGCATCTAAAATGCCACCACACCTGCCACCGGTTCCTTGGCAACTGACAAAAAACCGTGGTCACGAGTGCACATCGACTATGCTGGTTCGATCGATGGCATCTATCTGGACGTGCTCGACGTTTACTCCAAATGAGCCGGAGTTATCGCCGTCAACCAACCAACTGCATCCGCCATGCTGGATTGTCTGCGACGAATCTTCAGTTCACATGGCCTTCCCGACGTTTTGGTGTCTCGACAATGACTCCCACTTTACGACTTCATGTTCGAGGGACTTTTGTCGCTGGCATTGCACCAAACACCTACACTCACTGCCCCACCATCGCCAGTCCAATAGTCAAGCGGAGAGATTTATTGACACATACAAGAGGAAACTTGAAATCTCGTCGGGTGGGGACCATGGGTCAATGCTTCAAGCGTTTTTGCTCTTACCGGGCCACAACAAATCCAGCCGCTCCCGGTTGCCAGTCTGCAGCTGAAGTATTGATGAGCCGCAAGCTACGCACCATTAACGAAGCAGTCATTCCGACCGAAAATCCACCAAGTCAATATACTACCTGCACTAAGCACAATGAATTCGTCTTTGGAGCCCCGGTATACGCTCTCGACTATCGAGCAGGTCATCCACGTCGAACCAAAGCAACAGTGACGGCTCGTCGAGGTGACATGTTGCATGATGACTCCGTGGATGATGACACGTGGGTCCGCCATCGCACTCAACTTCGACCGCGACACGGAGAACCCCTCCACGCTAGCCAGTCTTCCTTACACCTGCCGCTGCACATCTTGTTGGATACCTTGGTAATGGCAACACAAAGGGAGATCACGGTCGAAGCCGCCCAATCGATGCAATATCTTGAGAACCCTCCTTACCGACGAAAAGAAAGAATCCATAGATCACCGAAATCCCTCCAGGTCTATCCTCGTCAGAAGCGGTACATATTATTTTCAAACGGAAGTGTTGCAGGCATGTCAAGTGCCAACAAAAAATGAGCCACAAAACCCAGTACGTGGGCTGCGAGACGCAGAGTTCAATTCCTGCCCACAAGGTAGTAGGATCCAGTCACTCGGAGTCGGAGAACAACTGGGCTAAGGTGGACGATGTTCTTTCGCAAACCACCAGCCCTACTTGGTGATTCCTTTCACCCACAAAATACAGCATTGTTCCGTGATTCGGCCTTTGTGGGTCGTGAAAGAACTCTCAGAGGTCTGCTTCATCTGCTCTTGTCTCCTCTTGAGGGTCGGTTGGGAAGCCCATGATTACCTGATCGGGTGCGCAGCTCTAGCCGTATCTTCCGTTAGGGTCTAAGTCTAGCGCGCCTAGTTCCTCGGTGGTGTGCGTGGCGTTGTCCTTTTTCGAGGGCTCAGCGTGTCACCCGAGTACATACGTGAAAATGATCCGTGCACAGGTTGCGCGCAATTCTCGTCCAAGCTAACGCGACCAGACCTGTGCAAACCCGTTACACTTTCACTCAGTAGCCTGACCCATAAGGTGGGAAGCAAGTTCAGTTCGGGATTCCGACTGCAGATACCCATTGGAGCTGCTTGTGATTCGTCATACACAGTACTCTACTACTTAAAACAATTCATGTTTTTCAACCGTAATAATGTTACGCACGTGCTACCACGGCCAACCGCAGATGGGAGTTCGCGGATTTGCACTCATTTGATCAGAGACTGTCTGTTTGAGGAAAGTGACGGTAAGCCATTGAACACCGGGTGGAGATACCCCATCGCTAGGGACAGTGTGTGGCACTCATGCTCTGTGCCAATCGAGCTGTGACCATATAGCTCTAATCTGTTGTCTACAACGAGACTGCACTTTAACGTGGTGCGACAGTTTGCGTACCTCCTTGACTCATTGAGAATTACTGGGTGGTGCCTCCGGGCCCCTTGAGAACTACTCCTACCAGGTTGGTCAATGGCTAGAGGTCAGACAAAACTCAGTCTCCAGGTTGATGGTTTGAAATGGGATCGGCGTCCCTTTCCGTAAAACTAAATCATTGCCACCCTCCTCGCTGACTTGCGTACAGGCTTTTGAACCCAAGGCTTTGGTTGAGACCCTAAACTGTCCTCCTGTCTAGGGTCTAGGAGCCTTGACTGTATCTCAGCCCACATACAACCATGACTCTTTCTTCAAAAATAAACTTCATCCTGCATCAGCCGTCGTGCAGATTACCAAGGGTCGTCTTATGTGCTGCATACAGCAAGGCGGATAAGCGAAAAACATGTTACTAGCCGGCGCTTCCCATCTTTCTTTTCCACATGTTTCTCTTACTCCCATCCCGACACCCGGTAATAACCTTCCTTCTATAATTCCCAGCTTAATTGACAGCAACCGAAGTGCCACTGGAGTAGAACCATCTGCAGCTACCTTCCCAACACACTCATCAGACGCCTATCGGCAACAGTCCACTATAAGGCCACATTGTCTCGTTTCCGTGGCGACGTTCAACGTTCGCACTCTAAGACAAAAAAGTCAACAGGCTGCATTCGCACGCAACTTGGACACACTGGGTATTGATGTGTGTTGTGTGTCCGAAACTAGGATCAATGACCCTAATAAGGTTGTTGGATTAGTTGCACCTGGCTTGTCATCTCGTTATTGGTTGCACGCATCCGGAGACGCCGATGCAGCCCTTACAGGTCAAGCTGGTGTAGGTATCATTCTAAGCTCCAGGGCTGAGCCATCGTTGGTTGGTTAGATTCCGGCGAACAGCCGTTTATGTGCAGCCCGTTTGACGACATGAGCGAAGTAGTACAAAACGTTGTTTGTTTGTGATTTGCGTTTATGCCCCCACCGACTGTAGTTCAAATGCTATCAAAGACACATTCTATTAGGAACTGAACGCGCTACTACGCAGTGCTACTAGTTAAGATAGTATAGTAATTGCAGAAGATATGAACGCACAAGTAGGGCGTCTGAGCTCTTCAGTAGCACAGCTGGGTGGTAATTATGGGCTTAATTCCGCACGGACTGACAACGGCGAGAATTTGCTGCAACTGGGCGATGAGCACCAGTTGCTTCTTAGCAGCACTGCTTTTAGACACAGTGGGCACCTAAGTGCCACTTGGCGTTCTCCTGCAGCTCGCCAGCGATGGACCCAAATTGACCACATAGCCATAAATTACAGGTGACATGGTTCCATGCTGGATTGACGCTCGTACTGCAATACCTGCGTCGATTCTGATCATAACTTAATACGCTGTCGTTCCTCGATGAACTTTACCGGGAGGCACACCAAGCGTCTACTCCGACTGGCCACTGAGAAATTGTCTCAGCCCTCAAACAGGCAAGCCTATCAAGCACTGCGTACCGAAATTTCGCTGGCTTATTCTAATGACACTGGGCTTCAATGGAATAGGATCTCGGCTGCCATGCACGACGCGGGAGTATCTGTTTATGGCACTATCAATGGTCACCGCCCCAGTCACTGGATATCCGAGAGGTCAGTGAAGCTGTTGGAATCCAGAAGAAACCTCCTTGGTGGCTCTGAGCACAATGTGACCAGACGGGCTATTAGGCGTGAACTAAAGCGGAGCCTACGTGCTGACAAGGAAGCCTGGTGGACCAGTAGGGCTTAAGAAATGGAGGAGGCAGGAGCAGTAGGCAATTACCGCAAGCTATTCCAGCTAATCCACCTCACTGATCCCAGAAAACCAGGCGTCAGTGAGACAATCAGAGACAGCGCGGGTGCACTGATACACAATAAGGAGCGCATTCATGATGCTTCTTCACCGCAGTTGGGCTAAACCTACTTACACTTACACTAGGTCTTTTTAAGCCGGATAAAGTTCATTCCACTTTATTTGCTTTGTTCTGCCTACCGGAATAATCTTCTATTAACTGGTCATGTTGTTTACGCTAATTGTGTTTATTTCGTTAACTTCCTTGTGTCTAGTATTTTTAAGTAAGTTGTGAACATTTTGTACTTATCGCGGATTCGTTGATAAGCAACCTAATTCATATGCTAATTTATCGAAGAGTTAGGTCGGCATAGCCATATTCTTTTATTTGATAATATCATTTCAAATGATTGGCTGCTGTTTGACATCCCCCGGTGTGGCTGCGCTGGATGTGCATGTTGACAAGGTGCCTACCTGTCTATTACCCACTACCTCGTCCATACTGGCTCTAGATGACAGTTCGTCGTTGCTGGAGGAGACGGAGGTGCACGATCCCTGTGGTCGTGCTAGGTTCGAAGAGTGGTTCCATGCACTCATTGTGGAGCGGACTACGGTTCAGCCACCGCCTTGTGTGCGTTTGATTCCCAAATACAGCGTGCATGTGTTCGCCTGTGAAGGTGTGGGCCGGCTCCGTTGATGAAACGTGGCTCTCATCCGCATGCCTCCCGGTCTTATTCCTTCGGGTTTACACTGAGTATGGGGTGTGGTTGGAGTTGTGGGTGGTGCAGCGCAAGCTACCCATGGTCCCTATGCAGGCGCAGGCGTCCTGTGGCTTACAGCAGTGACAGGCAAATGTGAAACCGAATGCCGTTAACCATATATATATATATATATATATATATATATATATATATATATATATATATATATATATATATATATATATATATATATACAGTCGATTCCGGTTAATAGGACCACCGGTTAATAGGACCAGCCGCTTATTCGGGCCAAATTCTGAAGAACCGAAACGAATCCTATTAACCTAGCCTAATTTTAGCCGCTTATTAGGACCGGAATTCCGCTTAATCGGACCAGACGATAGAAGGTGGCAGGTAACAGAGGTGTTAAAATCAAGTTCTGTGCCTGGATGTCTGGACTAAACCCACAGTTCATATGTCGGGCAAGAAAGCGTATCATTCAGTTACGGTAATCTGAGTTGGCCTTTGGATAAACTGAACTGTGGCAACCTTGAGGCACATCTATCCAATTGGCTTCAGAACCGCCCGAAACTGACTGTAGTTTCCAACACTTGTAGGCGGAGCGAAGACATACATGCTTGTTCACATGTAGTTAACCGCTCGATCGATGTACCGCACGTCCATTGAGCCGAATGCCCTGAGCCCGCATTGCGGGCCTACTCTCGAGCACGGCAAGTGATCGCGGACACACAGGTCCGGCAAATCACAGGACAGCAGGTGGCTAGGTCAACCATAGAAATACCCAGGAGACAGACTCGAGTTCACCTCAGTGAACTGTGCATGTCTTGTTGCATGTTAAGAAAATGCCACGACGGGATTTGACGTTAGCTGAGAAGATTCGTTTCCTAGATCAGATCAAGGAACAGGGACCAACCACTAGTCAGCGTCGATTGGTGGAAATTACCTGCTTGGCAAAATCTACAATATCGCGCCTGATAAAACAAGAGAAAGATCTGCGAGAAGCATGGGCACAATGTGAAGGACGACGAGGTACTTCCCAAAAACGGAAGCGTGAAGGCAAAGATCCAGACGTCGATGAGGCCCTTAATGATTGGTTTGCCTTTGTTACTGGACAAGCCGTGCGAGTAAGTGGCCCAATGTTAAAGTACAAAGCAGAAGAAATCGCTAAAATGCTGGGCCACGAAGATTTTATAGCTACGGGCGGCTGGTTGTCTCGATGGAAATCTAGACATGCTGTAAAATTTAAGAAAGCACATGGTGAGAAAGAAAGTGTCAATAGCTCTCCAGCTGAAGAATGGAAATCAACAAAACTACCAGAGCTTCTTGAAAATTTCCAGCAGATGACATCTATAATGCTGATGAAACCGGGTTGTACTATAGGGCTACACCGGACGGCTCCTTAAGTTACAAACATGTTACTCTCTCTGGCTGCAAAAAAGCAATGGATCGCGTAACTGTCTTGTGCTGTTCAAACATGTCCGGAACAGACAAGAGGAAGTTGCTGTTTATAGGAAAATGTGCCAAGCCTCGCTGCTTTAAGGGACTCAGAATGGACAGTTTACCAGTTGTCTATCGTGCGAACAGAAATGCATACATGAGCTCTACACTTTTTAAAGAATGGGTGAAGGATTGGGACACAGAGCTACAACGCCAGTCGAGAAAAGTGTTATTACTTCTCGACAATTGTGCAGCACATTCAACTTGGATTTCTTGAAGAATATCCAAATGAAATTTCTGCCTCCCAAGACCACATCTTTGATACAGGCAATAGACATGGGCATCATAAAAAATTTGAAGACATTTTATCGTTCAAGTTTGGTGAATTAAATCCTTGAATCCATTGAGGAAGGCTTGCTGACCTCATCCTCGACGGCCGGAGAAATCAGTGCAAAGGTCAACATTTTGCAAGCCGTTACCTTCGTGGCCGAAAATTGGCGAAAAATGAGCAGTGCGACAATTCTGAACTGTTTTCCTCACTGTGGCTTTAAGCATATTGTCTCGGAGATGGATGTGGATATGGTGCTTGTGAATGAAAATAACGGCGAGAATGTGGAGCTGAAACAAGTTGAAAATTACGTAGAATTTTTGTCAATCGACCACGAACTTCAACTCTATGATGGAAACGAAAAATACGATGCTGCCATTGTTGCTCGAATAGCGGCGAAACACACGACAGCAACAGAAGACCATGGAAGTGATGAAGAGAACCCTAACGTGTTGATGCCAGTCACAAAACAGGATGCAAGGAAATGCATTGACATTGCACCGCTATTTCATGCAGGAAGGAAATGAAGGTAGTCCTATTATTGCGTTACAAGTTCGTGGTGATTTTGTGCGAATGCAGTCTGTTAAAAGAATGCGTCAAACCACACTGGATACGGTCTTCAAACGCTGAATGGAATTCGGTAATCCCTTTGTATAAAACTGTACTTCGCATGCTGAATATCATGTAGGTCGTTACAAAGAACTTATTTGTAAAATTTCTTTTTCAGTGAACAAAGTTCGATATCGAAGCAGTTCTTTTTTGTATGTTTGCTATAATGTTTGCTATGTGCCGCCAATACAGGTCATAATAGTAGTTTCCTATGTTATGCATAGCACCTCCCATCTTGTTACATCGGGTAACTTCGGTTAATCGGACCAGCCGCTTAATAGGACCAAAATGGTCTGGTCCCGATGTGGTCCGATTAACCGGAATCGACTGTATATATATATATATATATATATATATATATATATATATATATATATATATATATATATATATAATATATATAGAGAGAGAGAGAGGGGAGAGAGAGAGGAGACACAGCTAATGTACCGCAGTACAAAAAGACAAGATACCAAATATTTCATAAAAGCTAAAAGCAGGTGAGATCGTGGGTGGAAGAGGGGTTAAGGGGATAGACAAATAAACTCACAACTCACTCAGAGGTCAGCTCTACGCTGTGTCACCAAGTGTATTCAGTCAAACGTTGTTCTTACCACACACGAGCATGCCTTCTTAAACACCCTTTGTCGAAGGCCGAAAGTCGGCGAATGTCATCCACGCTAATTTGTCACGAATCGCTTCCATACAGCAATTCCTTTCGAACGGAGGCCTGGTAATCCCGGCCCTTTACCAAGAGGGAGTTATGCCGACGACAAGAAAAGTGCTTCAGGTTGACAAATGTTGACAGAGCATTGGCGATGCGAAGAGACACTCCCTTTAAATAGTGTCATTAGCAGACATGCTGCTCCCAAGATAGAAAAAGCTATCCCATGTTCGAGCTGTGTGGGTCAATCGTGGAAAAATACATACCGTACCTAGATGCCTCAATCGCCAAACGGCTCAGAATGATTTGCATACTTTGTGGGTCGTCACCAAGTAAAGCGATATCAACATAACTTAGGTCGGTTGCGCGTTCACTCGGTAGAAGCCCAAAGCCAAAATTTTGGAAGCCTTCTAGTGCTATCGACAGGACGTCTTTGATTGCGAAAGTGAGGAGGAACGGGAACATGGGGCAGCCTTATCGTACACAACTAGTGACAGCGAACGACAAAGAAACCAAAGACATGAAGATATAGTGCATGTAAGATGACAACATACCTATCTGGGGTCCTGTAGTTCAGTAAGCAATACCATAAAGCAGATCGATCAAGTGAGTCAAGTGCGGTTCGAACGACGACGGCATAGCTACGGTAAAGGTGGCGGTCCTCGGGGAGTTGGCGGAGTGGGAAGATTTGATCCACACAAACGTGGAAGGAGGGGAAGCGATCTTGTTCTTCAAGGTAGTATGATTCACGTATTGAGGATAGACTACGAGGTGGAATGGATGCTTATAACTTGGAGGCAACCGAAATTAGACCAATTCGCTGGTGATTGGTGCATGAAGTGCAAGCACCCTTTTCGAAAATCGAGTGAATATCTGATCCACCCCAGAAGGAAGGCATTTTGTCTTCGCACCCAATTTTGTAGAACAATGAAGTCAGCTGGCTGATGATTACTGTATCACAGTGTTTGTGCAACTCTGGAAGTCCGTCTGAGACAGCAGCCTTAAACAGCTGTTAGTGTCGAATCTCAAGACAAACTTCTGTTTCTCCAGGTAGATCAATATTGACAACTCGGGGCAGGGTAGGTGGATTCGCAGCGCACACAAGTGACGGATGAAAGGGGGGCAAAAATCGGGAGCGAAAATGTTCGGCACGTCGACCCAAGTGCCTTAGTAGGTTAGCGACCGGCGAAACATTCGCTTCGCAAATAGTCACACCAACACTAGGCTCCCTTTGGCCAGCGGAACGAATGAGCCGAAAGGACTTGCGGGTATTGCCAGGAAAAGCAGAAAGCTTTACTCCGAAGTATATTGAGACAATCGAACTTCACAAGCGGTTTGAGCTGCCGACTGAGAGAACGGTGCACATCATTATGATCGGACTCCACTGGAGTATTTATGTCGGTCAAACAGATGCAGGGGGCTTGGAGACCTAAACTGTCAAGTGGTGCGAGTAAGGACGCAAATTGACGGTCCGGAAGATATCAGAGTCTTCTGCATGAACACTCAGTGTTACTCAATATCTTTCGGTGGATCGCAATTGAATGAACGTACCGGAAAAGAATCGTAGTTTGTTTGTATCAAACTTACAGCGCTTCGTTTTCGGGGACCCTCCGAAGGTCATGCGTATGGTCCCACAGAATAGCGCGCGATCTGAGTCAAGAATGATTGAGCTGCAAACCCGTACACCGCCCCCCACCTGAAACCTATTGCAATGTGAGCAAGCTGGCACCACATTTGAGTTGATGAAGAGGTGGGTCAAAAAGCAGGTCTTCTCGTATGTCTGAAGTCAGTAAAAGACGATTGTCTTCACACGATGTCTGTCTCCGTCACATGAACGTCTCTCATCAAGCACATGATGACCACTAAGATGATATTCACCCAGTAAAAAACGACCGATCAGTTGTTGGAATCTCCAACAAGGGCGACAATATCAGGATTGT